TCGACTTCTTACCGTCAACGGTAAAAACCTTAAGGTGGCCGGTGGGGGCAAAACACGTCAAGTCGTGAGGAAAACTCCGTTTAGCTTCGGAAATTTTGCTTTGCCAAGCTCCGTCTTGGTCCAAGACAACCGGGAGAAGCCTCAGATAGGAGGTGTCAGGTCGTTGGCTGCCCTCTTGTCGCCGTCGAGGAAAAGCGCAACACTATTGTTTTTCCAAGTACTGGAGCGGGGGGACCCAGACCGCCTAAAGCAGGCCATGCTCGCGATGGCTGAAGTGTTTGTATCGACAAAAGTGTTTTTGGTGGTGCCCATGTACATAGGCATCTTGAAAAAAAGCGAGAGGGGTGCATTGATTCTCTGTACGGAGATGGTGGGTGGCCCAGGAGGATGGTACATGGTGCCGAAACCGTGACCGTTGTTTCGGCCACGAAGCAAGATAAAGGCTGCAAGCCTATTTTGCGAGCATTCAAGTCGCCGGGTACTCTCGTTTGGCCGTCGAGATGAATGGACCGAGAGTTATTTTGCGTTGAAATGATAACACCTTGTGTTTCCCAGGCCTGAAGTATGTACCACAACGCCTAGCGCTTAAAACGACCTGTGGAAGGGTCATGTACATTTCACCACCGCACGCCGCTGGCTCAAGCTTCACGGTCCACGGAAGCATGAAACACAGTCAGTCAGAACCGATTGAGTCAAGGCACGCCTTTAGTCTCCTCTTTCCGGTGCTTGCTATCATACACGGCTAGGGGAAAAGCACTTCGCCCTGCTCGCCCTCCACAATCCGGAAACGAAACTAACATGGAGCAAAGTTATGTGCATCTGGTCTCTCGCGTGAGCACGTCCGGTCAACAACACGTGTGACGCATGTCGGTTTAACTGGCTCGAAGCGCTTGTTCTGTTTTGATAATCCGGCCGGAACTTCTGAACTCAGCTCGTAGCGACACGAAAGCTATCGCGAAAATCAAGTCCTGTTGTTCCGTACTTCTCAGCCCAGGATGTGTTGCTCGATTTGTTGTTTATTTTACGCACGTACTTCAAATACGGTGTCGCCGTTTTCCAACGTGCTTGGAAGTTTCCGTTGTGTCCAGAAATATATACGGGCTGCCCCAGTCGAAAGCATGTTTGCATGTTTACTCCGTAACACACAGCTAACCACCGGCACCTCCTTCAACCCTCTCGCGCCTCGGCAAACCACACTCGCGCCTCGGCAAACAACATTGTCTAGTCGTTGACAAAAAGCACAAAATGGAGTAGACACGAAAATAGCGCCTCAGCCCAGTGATGACCCAACGGTGCCCGCCCAACAAATGCCCTACACTGGTTGACGTCTCCGTAAGGCTACGCGGAATGCCAGAAGGAATCAGCACACTGCGAAAACTCAACGCTCCATCACTGAGCTTAAAAATACAAGGTCAAGCCTCCCAAAGCAATCAAACACGCGCACTAGAGGCTTCGAGCAGAAGCACCTGCCGCACGTCCAGAGAGCAGCGTGGCACCCCGGCATACTATACGGGGTGTGGACCGCAATCCCCTTCAAGAGGACGCCTAGGAACTGCTTGTTGTACTTCCTATTCTGGAGCTCGTTGATGACGCTGAGCGAGTACGTGAAATTGGGAAAGGTCATGTTGTTGATGGACCGAAAGTACACAGCCTTAACCCCATGGTCCGACTCGTGCCGGGTAAGGTTGACTCCAGCAATGTCTTTGCACGTCGTCATGCCGCTGTACTTTGCCCGACACTCCGGCCCGTGGTTAGACTCGTGGTGCCCATCCGGCCCAATCCGCATTTTCCTCGGGAAGGCGTCCCCTTCGGAACCTTGGTACCTGGTGTCGTGGAAGGTCGCATCGTAGCCAGCCACCTTGTCGCCCGTCGTGGTCTCGTGCGGCGCGGCATTCGGCGCCAGCCCGAGCTCCAGCGATTTTAGCGTGAAAACACCCCGCCCAAATCCAATTCCTCCGCGAACAGCGATACCTGGCAACACACGGACGCAGTCATGAAAATCGGTAGAGGGTGCCCGACTTTTCGGACATGAAAACGGCCTCAGACGGCACGCATTTATTGCAAGGGGCAGGATTGAAGATGTGCCATTCTGTTCGAGTAAATGAACCGTCACCTCACACGTGGTACCCTCGCCCTGTTGCAAGTCAACTGCCCGGCCGCAGTGTACCTCGACTACGTTTGTTAGCGTTTCGAAGACAAGACAAGGCGCCACTCATACAGAGGGAAATGAACGCCCTTGACAACGCTGCGACTGGACTGAAGGCATGCCATACGGTCAACGTTCTTGTACACTGCACGCCGTCAAAACGTCGGTATACGACATGGATCTATACAACGAGCGCGCGAGACGTGACCAGCGTCTGTATCCTGAGCAGGAATAGCAAGCGGGGGCTCCGATTGAAAGGGCACTAACTGAGGTACGACTGAGAAATCCCCCTACCCGTACACACCTGCTCGCTGCCGCGCTTCTGGAGTTAAGGGCCTGAGGCCATCCACGACGAACTTCTCCTTGGCCTGCAAGCACGGTGGCAGGGAAGTGTACGCCGCATCAACACGTGCGCAAAGCAACAGAAGCAGAACAGGCCTTGTGGATCAAACCATGTTTTCTACGTGTTGGTTGGGGGTTAGAACGCAAGACGGAAGGAAGAAACCGCGTGGCGTCCCGTTGAGTTTTCGCCCTGCCGTTGACAAATCTGAAGTCGCTGTGTAGATGCCCTACGAATGCCAAGACTTACAGCATGTCGTGGCACATGATTTTCTTAGCTCCCGGGATGGGGTGGGCGTTCATATCACACACTAAACCCCAAAAACGAGAAAAAAAATAATAATGATGGGATAGGTCAAACGTTGTGTGATTGCATGTACACCAGCTCAGTGAATAAAATCCAGGTCTTGTGCGGGGGGATTCCGATATGCACCCCTTTCGAGACGGAGGGCCTTCCATAGCCCACCACATGATATTCTTCTCGTACATTTGTTGCACACCCATGTTTCTGTGCGGGAGGGTTGTGCTGGTAAAGGTGCCACGATTTCCCCCATCTACTCAAAGTTGCACGCTAAAGGTGCACGCTCCGGCAAAAATGCGACGTCCAAAATGTCTCACCTCCGCATATCCCCGGAGCCCTGTCGCCACATCCCCCTCAGATATCCACTTGGGATCGAGCCACGACGGTAATGCCGACACTTTACTGGCTTGCCTTGATCCCGACAGCGCCACGAGCACCGGCAGTAAGAACGACGCTCCATCTGCGTGGGTGATGATGTCACCCTCCCCCGCCCCCGTGTGCACAACCCACCCCTTGGCGCCAACAACCAATCCTCCCGTCGCCTCTCCCGCTGTCCCTCCCTCCGATGCTCCTCCTGCAGCCCCTCCCGCCGGTCCTCCCTCCGATCCCCCTCCCACGGCTCCTCCCGCCGCCGGTCCTCCCGCTGCTCGTCGGTGCCAGTGGTAGGTGAAGACGAGCACTTCGAACAGAGACAACAGCCGCACCCCATCCCGCCGCAGAGCATCAACCGCCCTCATCGCTGCTAGCTTGCTCGGCTCCCCGACTCGCTTGAAAAACGACGCAGCCCAAAAGACTGTTTCGTAGGGGTCAACCTCGCTTTGGAGGCCGGGCCGCGGGCCCGCGGTCTCCATGACGGCGTACACGTCTTCGTCGTCAGTGGTCCTCTCGCGCTCTTGAAAAGGTGCGCAAGGTGCTATTTCCCGCGTTGCACTGTCGCGGTTGTTCCCCACGTGTTCCAGCTCAGGAAACACGACATTCCCTTCGGTGTCACGCTTCAAAATTCCTTCGTTATCCAAGAGCCCAGGGCAATACTTTTCGAGCCCTGCCACCAGCTTGCACGCTGCGTCGTAACAAAGGAAGAGCGGTTTCACCTGTCCGGCAGAAGGCGTTTAAGGGTGACAAAGTAGGAGATGCGATCAGTCATCGTAAGCTTCGAGGCTTCGCGCCCCTCACTAAAAGTTGTACCCGTCCTTCCACGTCCGCATGTTTAATACCGACGCTTGAAGTCAACAGAACTGAGAAGGTCCTCTGCTGGGGCCATACAGAACTCCTCTGAGCACTGCTTCTGTTTTTGTACGCCACAATAACTCAGCAGCTACATCCCTCGCCGATAGCACTAGATAGGGAAGGGCAATGAGCCGCGGGGACTCTATTCCTTGCAGTAGTCTATCTGCCATGCTTTATTGCGGTTTTTTTAATCCCAGTCATCGACAAGCAAAAAATCCTGCAACTAACGGCCATTGCGATTGTGAGCATAGGCCACACGTGATATATACAGTACGTCCCCCCACACAGATTTGTTTTTTCGGTGGTTCCTCATCGTTGAGTGAAGCAGCACCAATTGTAAACCTTTTCCCCCCCAAGATGCGTGTATGCAACGTCTTGTGTGGCGGCTGATAGAGACCACGGGGCCATAGGACCCACGGATGCTGAGGTGGCGAGAGTCGACAATACATATATGCATGGGAGAAAAACCCTCCCGCAAAAAAAAAAGGGCTTTCCTGCATTTTTGCCCGTCGCAGAGGTTTGTTGCCCGTCGCTCTACAGACCTCGCTCTGGTCGAAAAGGAGGGTATATTCGGTCGCCCGGAAAATAGGTTGAAATAAAGGCTGGGCCCCTGCATAAAGCTTGGGCCCTGCATCGCGTTGGAACAGGCCGATCTGCAGAGCCCTTTTCTGCATGCACGGCTATGGGAAAAACGCCGCTTCGCTCTCCGCGGCAAACTGCAAGTACGAAATGTGGTCAATACACACTCCGCTGGGCTCGAACCCACACAACCAAGCCGTCGGCATGCTGAAGTTAAGAGGAAATTCGTTGCTCCAACTGCCTAAAAGCCGTTTAGGTCCCATCCCCATATTTTGGAAGGCTTAAGGCAACCTCATGGCAGTCAACGACCACCATGAGACAAAGGCAACCCAGTCGCACGGTCGACCTAAGCGAATATTCACGATTCCTCGCGCCACCTTCAACAACCAATTGTTTGGGTTTGAACTGTCAGAGCTTGTGCCTCGGCAGCAAACCCTGTTCTTGATGAGTGTCGATTTCCTCGATGATGCTCCGACACATGCTGAAGGGTCCTCTCCTCCTCTCCTACGCACCGTGAGTAAACACACACCGAAAGAGCAATAACATTCCCAAACTCTTCAGACGGCGTAGTGGAAAGGGAAAGGCTAACAATTTGCTCACCTTCATCCACCTCATGAAGTCGACTACGTCGTAGACACTCTCGGGGGTGGGGAGCACCTTCCACGCCACCATAACGCCCGCTGGGGTGAAGGCGCATACCATGCCCGCGGTCGCCACCCCTCCACGGCCGCCAAGGAACAGCTTGGAGCAGTCGCCGTGCTCGAACAGCACCTCCTTTCTCTTAAGCCTGTACCACGCGAAGAGAAGAGTAGCGACAAAGACGAGAAAGACTCGTGGGGATGCCGGAAGCCTGTGCAAATACGGCGAGTGCCACCGGCGTGAAATAAAACACTACGCTAGGCGTCACGCACAAGAGCTACACGGCCTCAACATCATTATCTCTGTTTTCGTCTCTACGTTTATCGTCAGCGCGATGGCGGTCGGGAGATCACCCCAAGCGACGACCACGCATCGAAAAAAACACACACCTCGTATAGCTGCCTCTGGTGCCGAAGATGTTCAAGTGCAGGTCCTTGAGTTCTTCCGCACCCATACCATCCACCTGGCTAATACCCCCCGCGCCGTCGTTCAGCGCCTTTATGAGCTTCGCACGTTCGCCGTCCTCGAACTTCCATTTCAGCGACTTGACTACTGCGCGTTCCGTCTTAATCCCCCTTTCGAAAAGCCGATTCTCGGGGGACACCCAAGCAGGCGTCCTGCCTACGCCCTCTAGATCCCCCAACACGAACTGAACGCGTTCGCTGAAAAACACAGTCGACACCAAACACAACTTCAGACACACCATCGACATGTCAAAGTTCAGAGTAGATTCTGGTCTCGACGCCGCCGCTAGCGCTTTCGTCATAGAGTTCACGCACATCTTCACGCACGCGTCGACAGTCACAATGGGCGAGTGTGAGCTCCACTGAAAGCACCGAAACTCAAACGGGAAGTCGACCAGGCCTAAAAAATCAAGGAACGCATTCGTCAGCTGAACGAAGAACCTCGAGTTTTTATCGGTGATACTGCGTTTAGCAAGGCACACGAAACAACAGCGGGAGGAGCGGGAAACGTTGTTCATCAACACAAGGTACTACAACGTTTCTTTACGTCGAACGTACCCCGTTTTATCATGCCCGAAAACGAAAGCCAACACGAGAAATTTGTTCAAATTGCACTATACGCCGCAAGGGTATAGTGCCTGGTTTTACTCGCGTACCCTCTTCGGTCGGCCATACGTGTTGACACTCAAAATGTCGAGATCTCACCATGAACAAGGCTGCCCTTTTCAACCGGGTTCAGCACGGTCAGCCCCAGCACTGACGGACGAGGTAAGATGAGTATCGCCCCCCCCAAAATCAAATCAATACGTACAGTCAGGAACTTTCCTACGTGAGAAGCGGTCCTACCGGTTTGCTGCACGAATATCTCATCGCACATTCGTACCGTCGGCACCCTAGACATTGTCTTCCACTGCTCCCCGTCCATTTATACCATCTGTCCTCCACATCTGTTGCGAAAATGATTGGCGTTCAACATCTCACTTTTTGTACCTCTCTGTCTATGGCTAAAGTAGAGCGACCGTGGGGAGGAGTCCGACATCTATTCCCACCAGGTTCGAGAAGCGGTACGACGCCGTGAGGTTGACAACTACCGACCAAAGCTGTACTAATCACGCCTTTTCAAACTCCGCAAGCTCCCAGACTTCAATCAGTCGTTGTAGAGCGTATGCATGGCACTCTGCAAATGACATAGAGCAGCATACCTCGCAGCGAGATCCGGGTTCGCCGACAGCCAACCGAGATTTGTCGTCAGAGGCTCAAAGTGCGCGAAGAAAAAGGTCTGGTTCGACGTCCCTCCTATGAACTGCGCAAGGCACTTGTACAGAAGGGCAAGGTCCACCAGCAAGTTGTTGTTGAAGTTGAACACGGACGTATCCCGCCAGTTGTCGCTTGCCCACGCGCACATTCCGCATTCATCGCACTTTCGGCGCTCTACCGCCACGCTCGTTACTAGCGGCGCCTGCGATTTGTCACGTGACCCGTAGACCGCGTGAAGGGAGATGTCGCTCAGGAAAAATCAATTACCAACTCTTCCTACACGATTGAGATGGCGTCCTAGCAGTAGTTTTACGAAGATGAGGTGTTCACCATTAGCCCTGTGCACAGTAAAACAATTACCACGGGATATATATACCGATACCATTTCAGGGTTGCGAGATTGAGCAGGCGATACCGACTATTTCAGGTGCAACGTGCGAAGCGAGAGGGTGCTAGGCACCTTCTGAGGGAACCGAGCAACAACAGAGCCCAAAGCCACTACTCACCTCTGTCACAAGCTTCGCATCCTCCACGTCACCCTCGGAACGGAGCTCACCACCGCAGGTGCACCTCGTTTGGGAGACGGTGAACCTTGTCCCCGGCTCTGCAACGACTTGCCGAAGTCCCGATGGAACGGCTGGTGGAAACTGGTGTCGCGACATGTAGACCAAGGTGTCTGGTGTCGCGACATGTAGACCAAGGTGTCTTGCAGTCTTCTGCAGTACAAAGCTTCGTCATCTTCGAGAAGCGCCCGTGGAGTACGTGGCAGAAGAGAGCCGCCCGAAGGTTCTCCTGCTGCTGCACCCTCTCCGGTACCGGGCGATGCCGTCGAATGCTGCCCAACGCCGGAAAATAGAGCGACGATCAAGGTGTGCACGCACCTTTGGCGATGCCTCTCCGTGTTCTCGGTGCAGGCCTCTCCCTTTGCGGCCTGGGCGGCGAGTATGGAGGGGTGCATCACGGAAAATAACCAAGTCAACAAGCATAGTGCCAACAACGACCTACTCTCAATCTGCGGTCTGAGGCAGACAACGCGTTGGTTTTAGCACGACTCATCTTGTACATGGGTGTGTCGCGCTACCAACAAAATAGCTCTAATGGATCTCCGACAACAGCAATCCTTCTCTTGTTGTTGCGAAAAGGAAGGGCGAGCCGTTCTCAGACAGCCAATTTACAGTACTGGCCTACTGGCAACATCGCATGCACACATCAACATGGGATTTGAAGCCGCCCAATCATTCGCATCAATACTGCACACGCAATGTGCGTCATGCGACGAACTCATTTACTGGTGTACACCGTTTCGTCGGCTTTGGCCGGCGGAGACAATTTCCATCATAATCTCTAAACTTTCATCAATTCGTAGGCTCACCCTGCACATGAAGTTCTTCGGAGGTGTCAGCCGTCGAGACGATTTCCCTGGCTCAACTGTGTCGTACTTCACGCACGCATAGTCATGCTCCGATGTTCGAGTCCGGTCATCGCGCACCACAAAATGGTTCGGTTCCGTCTCGTACACCGGCCACACGCCACTACCCTCAGCCCGTTCCACCATGGTCATGATCACAGTGTGCTCGACGACAGACAAGTGCCCATCCGATTTCGCCGTTGCCACATGCTCCTTTGCTGCGTCCCAGTCCCAACCATCACCTTTGACCTCTCTGGCGTCCTTCACCGTCTTCTTCCTCATGTGCTCTAACGCCGCCTTGGCGTGCTTGCACAGGCCTCCGATGGCGCTAGCCACTCCGCCATGACTCCCTGCCGTTTGTTGCTGTGCTACTAACCCCGCCCGTAATCTGCGGAATCAGCGGTATAGAACATGGCACTATTTAGATACGCATTTCATGGCAGCGGTGGCAGACGCCCTCAAACAACGTTGTTGCGGTACCATGATGAAAACATATTGAGCACCGAAGCTTAGATGACACACTCTGCACCAGCCCACACAAGGTCTGCACTTGAAATATGGCATCGCATGTCTCTGGTGTAACGCCATGCAATCGATGGATTGGCAAAATTGCACCAGCACAGTTCGCAGCAGCCAGCAGAGGAAGATACTGTTCATAATGAGCTGCGGAGCGCGAAGCGCGACCTTTTGTATCCTTAACCCACCCCAGGAGGGAAAATAAGGCTCTAAATATCGGCCTCTTCCAACCCGATGCAGGTGCCCAAACTCCGGGAACCTCCGTTACACTGGCGACCGAAAATACGCTTTTTTCCACCAGAACAAGATTTACACCGCACCGATTGGCGATCTGCTGGCTTCTTGGGAGGAAGGAAGATAGGGCACTTTTCGTCGCACCAGTGCGTCAGAGATTGTCGTGCTACACAGGCATTTGTCCCCAAAATTCGTACGAGATACCTCCAACCAACCCAGGGAGTTATCGAGCTAAAGGGGGGACACAAGGTCCGGAAAAAAACGGAGATCTCTCGCACGCAATTTTCAAACCAGGACAGAAACAAATACGCATTCAGCAAAATACTCAACACCGACCGGTTTGTATGTTTGCCCTCTACAGATCCGAGGCCAGCAACCAAAAACAGCAGGGATCGAGCCAACACAACCTTAGCGCAGTGGGTATAAAAATGCGTCAGGTGTAACACGGCGGGTTCATTGATTTTGCGTGAGTCCAACTGACGGCTCAAACGTTAGGGTGATCAGATCACGCGCACAACATATACACCTTCCCACCATCGACAGGAACCTTGGAGGGCGTGAGGGTCTGTTGCTGTTCGTTCTCGGGATGGTTGCCAGGGATTGGTTCAGGTTGCTTACGCGGTGGTACTGATTGTCTTTGAAGACAACCGTGCATTTGGCAAAGCCGTCTGCATGCTGTTGCGGCCGTGAAATTCATGTTCACCAACATTGTTTTCTGTTGCTGCCTGTGCGAAACAATACGTGCGATGAGACACGCGGTACATCAACTACAAAACTGCTTTCTTCAACTTCGTGGGAAATTCGGAAGGCTGGAGACGGTTGAGTGTGGCGGGTAAGTTGCGAGCCTGCTGCATCTATCCGTCATGATGCTATATCCACACTGCTGTTGGTGCTCTGTGGTGGTCTGATATGCTCGTCGCCAGGAATATGCAGCATCCGTGCCTCTTCCCGTCTGTGTGCTTCCGCGCACGGCGGAAATACTTCATCCTCCGGAATTTTGTTTTTTCGCGAGTGTGTGGTATCAAAGGACTACTACCGCAAGTACATACAAGCACGGCCGTGTGCCTACACTATTATACAAACGATGCACTCTGCTGTGTGGGCGTTGTGTGGTGCTGGGCTCCTCGCTCTTATGGTCTTTTACTTCAACGGCACGGCATTGCAGATAAACTGCAGGTATTGAGCCGAGATACCCCGCGGCCCATTACCTCGTCCTATCTAGTACCGGGCAACGATAAACGAATCCGAACAGCACGACCCAAAGAGCCTCACCCTTGACATTGTGTCCTTGAGCAGCTGGAAGTTTGTCGTTCTGGGTTCACAGAAGTGATGACCCAGTTGTCAGCATTCCCGAGGCGCACAGCAACCGTAGTGCTTTGGTCGCCATTACCTCGCGGCAACTTGAATACTATTTGCCTCTGCTTTGCCTCCCCTCCCGCACCCCGGCGCCCTGCGTGTCCTCGTCCTTGCCCATTCCGAGCCGCGTGTCCACGTCCTTGTCCACTCCGTGGGGCCACTCCTCCACGCCCGCCCGCCCTCCCCCCTCGGGATCCTCCCCGGGCTTTACTGCGTTGCTCTTTACACCTGAATCCGTCCGGCGGAGCAAAAACAACAAGGTAATTGGCGAGGGCGAGGACAACGGTCATGACTTGCGAAGCACCGCCTGAGCGCATGCATCCCTGACATCTTATACTCTCCCACATTTCAAACAAAAACTCCAAGCACAGACCGTTGCCATAAGTTCTGACGACAAGATCAAAGGGCTCCCTTCCAGGCTGGTCGTGATTAAAATGATATCACCGATCGACATGAAAAATGGAATACCACACACACAGAACGCCGCCAGTAGGGCCATCGAGCAGCAGCGCAACAACTGGCAACAATCCCTTAGGACGTTTCCCTGCCTTCTTTCCCGCCTTTTGTTGTGCAAACTGGGTGGGGATGGTGCACAGGGAGAAAACACCCTGTTTTTTGGTTGGAGACAGACACAGCTTGGCTAGCAAAATCGGCGCGTACGGTCAATCTTCCAAGCAGCTTTTCCAGCCGGGTGGGGAAGGCGGGAACTTGGCGGTGTCTGGCCAAATATCACAGAAGCATGTTGGGGTAACTCGTCGATGGGGATATTAGGGAGGCTATCGGCTGCAGTACATGTTGCCTGCGGAGGAGACTCATGTAATACCACCAAACCTGGACGGAAACCACCTTCATGTCGCCACCAAAACGAAAGCAAGCCTAGTACACAAGAACGGGACACATACACTCTGCACACGTACTCACACACAACGACACAGCGACAAGAAGGATTGAATTAAATACCATTGTTAGCAGGGGGCAATGGGGCAATGAGACGGTTGAGATAGGGCTGGTTTACTGTTGGGTCTCCAGTAACTGGACCGCTGGCACATACCGATGGATGTTGGCTCTCTCTTTTTTCATGCAGTTGCGCTCTGCTGCATCACAAACGGACGGAGCCGCTTGCATCCGCTTTGTTTGAAGCGCGTTATTTCTGCGTCGGCAACGAAAAAAAAAAGCACTCCGGCCTGTATCACATCTTACATTTTGCACATGCACTTGCTCTTGCAACTAGCGTGGTGCGAGCAGCACCTCTCCGACTCGGGTGCGAACGTGTTGAACGAGGGAAGGCAAAGCCTCTTGTGGACCCATCTGCTGCAGTCGGTCTTGTCCTCGCACAGCAAGAATCTTCTCTTACTGCTTCCCTCCTCTTGGTTGCACGTCGCACAAAACTTGTTGTACGATCTATTCTTTCCTCTGTTCGCCCTGCGCCTCACAGGATCCGAGCGACCACGGCCTGTTGCTGCTGGAGCGATGTCTGCTGCTGCTGGAGCACGGCCCGGTACGTCCAACGCCCCGCGCGCAGGTGCACCAGAGACACCACCACGGCCTGCTGAGAAAGAAGGCGCTCCAAGTGGATTACTGGGAAGGATCCGTACAAGTGGATTGTGAACGTGACTCCCTCGCTGCTGCCTTCCCGGAACACGAACCCCTGTTGGCAGTAATGCTCCTCCGGGCCAACCCAGCGGTGTTGGTGATGGTTGGGCTGCTGGTTGGGCTGCTCCTGCCCCGACTCCGGGTGCTGCTAACGACAACTCGGAGGCACTTTGCGCAGGATGGAGACCTAGAGCAAGACCACTCCTTGAACCGGTAGCAGCTGCCGGTACAAGTGGATGCGGATGTCTGTGACTCCCTCCCTGCCCGCTCGTTCGCAGTTCTGGTACTGGCGGCGTTGGTGATGGTTGGGCTGCTGGTTGGGCTGCTGCTGCCGCGGGTTGCCGGGCTGCCGCTGCCGCGGGTTGGGCTGCTGCTGCCCTGACTCCGGGTGCTGCCAACGACAATTCGGAGGCACTTTCCGCCGAGAGGAGACCTAGAGCAGGACCACTCGTTAGACTGGTAGCAGCTGCCGGTGGCGGTGGCGGTGGGGGTTCACTCATGGGTACGCAGCAGTGGTGCGGAGTGGTGCGGTGGGGAACAGTGGTGCGATGGGCGTCGGCAATCTCGGTACCGCGGGACTGCTGGTGCCGGCCAATTAGTAGCAGAGGTGGCTAGACGCTGTGGGCCAATGAGCAAGCCCCATCAACTTAGCCTTTCCTATACTTTATCCTATATGTTATGCTACTATGGCCAACCCTGCGTAGACTACCGGCAGCAGTGCCCACAGTACGTACGTGAGAATCGGAGTTCCATGTACATGCCTGTCTCCAGCGGGAAGGGGCGCCATGTTTATTTATTTTTTGGGTTTCGCGAGGTGGAAGGTGGAAGTCGGGCTGCGCTCCCCGTTGAAGAAATAGGTGCTATAGGAAGGGTCGTGTACATGTAGTCCGTAGTTGTTCATGTGTACTCCTCCTATCCTTGCATCTTCTAGGCCTTTTGATGAAATTCTGTGTACTACTACTGTTGGATGCACTGTTGTGCTGCAAAATCCTCGTCGTATGTACGGAGGACAACAACGATGACTCTGGCGAGGTGTAGCCCGTGAGCAGACATATTCTGAGTCTTGCTGAGATGTCGTGAACGTTGTGTACATAATAGCCCGGGGGTAGCCCCGGCCTCATCTGAAGCCCTTTCCCGTTTTCCCCAGAGAGGGTATGTATGTGTGGGGTCGGATGATGAATGTAGTTGGGGGCGGTGATCTGATGAAGATGACAAAAAAAAGAGGCTACTACTACATACTGTAGACTACTCAAACCATTAGATAGAGTATATAGTCAGCGCTGACAAGTCTAATGGTTTCATTTTCGGCTTCTATAAAAGTTAGTGGTAATGGGGTTCGTGAGCCCCGGCACTTTCAATTCCGAGGAGGGTGACTCCCCTTGCCAACGCTACTACCCGTCCAACCTTATTTCGCTTCATATATCACTCGCCACCCACATCCGGAATCCTGCAGAATGTTCCCAAGGGTCCGTCTCAGACGAGAGTCCTTCCGTCACCCATGCTCTGGCCAAGAGTATCCAGGGTCTCAGGGAAAAAAGCACTTAAAAGCGTCCAGCCTGGGTCTCGAAACAACGACTAACTTTAATAGGCATCGGCGAAATCTTAATGAGGATGGTGATATACAAGTCAAGGTAGAGTGGGGCTGATGATGCGAGCGCGATGAAAGTACCTGGGATCCTTGGGGAGCCGTTAAAAAAGATGCGGGAAGATGCTCCGCATTTCGTAAGGTTAGAGTTGCGGAAGATGGGTCTGGACCAAGGCGTTCGTGATAGGTTGCAGTCGGAATATATGGCATCGACATGTATTCTCATTATAATAATTGAAGGAGGAGAGCGTTGCAACGGCATTATTATCATGTTAGGAGGCTGAGGCATTGATTGGCTGTGAGGCCGCTATCATTCACAGCGCATAAAGATGACGCAATGTCAGGTCGATTTATTTGTTTTCAAGCTACCGTAGAGATCTACTTTGAAGTAGTACGTTGCTTTGGAGAGTGCTGTGGAATAAAGTAGGCCACTCTTGAAGGGAACGGGCGCGGCAAGGCGAGGCGCGCAGATTACTCATAGACGAGTGCAAATAAATTGGATTCATCAAGACCGAGGAGGAGGCAATTACACGCGGGAAAATGAAATCGAAAATAAAAGCGGAAAATGTAGTCCGAACAGACAAGGAAATCAGATAGAAAAGGCACGGGAGGCCAAGATAGCGCAAGGCGGGTAAGGGTCTGCCCAGCGAATAAAACGTCGTTGAGTCGAGGACTACGTCTATCAGGTACTATAATAATATATATGTGGTAGTCTATAGTCAAGGTCGACGCAGTCCGTCCAGGCGAGGAAAGCAGCACGGAATCCTGATACATTCGCACACCAAGTAGTACTCAAAGGCGGCGTAACTATGACATGCCTTGTTCGATGTAGTATGAGACAGTATATAGAAGGAACTCGAAGGCCTCTGATCAGTCCATAAAATAGTTGTGAGTTGCGCTGCGCAGCGCCTACATGCTTTTATCTATCTGCATACATACATATATATACGTCTGTGTTTCTTGCAGGCAGGCAGCCGGGAAGTCAGTGAGTGGCACCTACCCGCAGTTAACTTGTTGTCGTGTGTTCTGCGACTGGGTACTTCCGATCAACGAATCAATGGTTCTTGCTGAGATGTCGTGGACGTTGTGTACATGGTATGTGCGTAGTTCGTTGCAACAGAGCACCGGCCGGATCGGCATGCAGTTGAGACACTGATGGTGTGCTTGATCAGAATAATCGAGGCTGGTCATCATGCATTGCGGAAAGTTCCACAAAATAAAAACAGCGCAGTTTTAAATCAGCTAAAAAATTGCCTGAACCTCCCTCCTCGTGTGTGCAGCAAGTGACTCCGGCGGGCGCGCCAAACATGTTCTGTACACTGTACCTGAGGGAAAAGACCTGGGGCGCCTAGAATAGATGGACGAAAACAACGAACTCTTGGGGAGAAAATATTATGCGCGCGAGCAACGGAGCAGCAACAAAAACACGCGAGATGAACAAACCCCATTCGAACAAAGCATCCGCCATTCATTTCCAACGCCTTGTAGCAGCGTGGAATGGCCAATTCATTTTGGAACGAACGGCATGTCGTGTCGTCTAGCGTGGCTACTATTCTTGGTGGAATAACCGCCGACGTAACACGCCACACGCCAGCAGCGAAAATATTGGCGAAACCAAGCCTTCGAATCGGAAGGTTACGCCAAACATAGCACGAAAAATGTTTCGCGCGGTAGGCTGTGGACATCGTTCCACCCTGCCAGCGAAAACGTTGCCGAAACCAAGCCTTCGAATCGGTAGGTAACGCCAAACACAGCACGAAAAACTGTTTCGCGCGGTAGGCTGTGGGCATCGTTCCACCCGTATGGTTGAGTGGTGGGTCCTGCGTGTACAAACAAAACTTTCCTCCTCCCACATTTTCGATAAAAATCGATACGAATAGGCATTTTGCTTCTTGTGGTGTTTTAAATCATCGTCGACAACAACATCATGCGGGCGCTGATATCACCGCCGTGTGAAGGCAAGGACTCTAACACCAATTGATAATAATCCATTCTCCCGTTAACCCTTGCCAACATTCATCCGTTCCTCGACATAATGCAATTGTGTAAAATAAAATAGAAAAGAGAAAGCGTAGTTATAGTGCTTCCCCTGCCCCGGTAATTTCTGAAAGAAACACCACCGCAACGCTCGTCACCCACCACTTCAAACATCACCGCCACCGCCAAATCACACCGACGTTCAATTGCGACAATTGACCTCGGCTTTTGGCACACACTACCGGAGGTGCGGACCCGACTTGATCTCTTCCAGACTGCAACACCATCAGTTTCCCAGAACAGAGCAGCAGATCAACAACATCATCAGCGGTCATTCAGCTAAATCAACAAAAAATATACATCTGCCCCCCCCACCCATCCCACCCCCACGTACTTCTGCTGGGACCGCTAAAATCCATTCTTGCTTCTCCTCGTCATCTCGTCGTCTCTCCCCTAATCACCAGTGAATGAACCCGTCAACAAAGCGGCGTCGTATGAATCGCGATGATAGCCGGATGTAGTCTATGTTGCAGGAGCGCGTTATGATATATCAGCCACCACCACCAAATCACTAATGTACACGAAAACAATGTCGTCTTGAACTACCATGCAGTCTTCAACCGAAACAGAACCCCCCTCCCGCCCAATTTGTTGTGGATCGATCGTGCTTGAGTTGACCCCTCCCCCATCCCCCTCCACAGCGACCCTTCCCCCATCCCCGTCCCGGGCCGCATACGAAGCAGGTGATATACAAGCGGCTGCACTCAACCGCCGTCGCCGGCCAGGTTGCTAAGCACTCGTTATCCTCGGCGATAACCGTTACAATCGAAACAAAGCAGCTTCTCGCGAAAAAAAAGAAGTTGTTTCTTCCCCCCTGCCACCACTCTCAAGGGTGAAACGGCATCATCTATTCTTCCAACCTTCTTTTCTCTCTACCAAAGGCCAGGAATCACTTGTTGCTGCTGCTAGAGGTGAGAGGGCGGGCGTGCTCAAGTTGAGTCGGAACACAGTAACGCGTATGCATACTATGTTTGTTCCCTCGCGGCTGTCACACGATTGAACGCACACGAACATACAAAAATAAAAAACATTAACAAAAAAAAAACGCACAAATACAAACATCAAAAATCGCTCTGAATCACACTCATGTCAAGTGGAAACAGGATAACACGTAAATACCACCCACCTTCCATCGAATCGAATTAACAAAGATACCACAACCATCACGACAGCGGCAACAATGTCAGCACCCACAAGAAGAAGAAAAAAAAGTGTGAACTGCAAATGCACGTCGTAAAATCAACCGAAGAACCAGAACAATCAAATCTTGGACCCACGCGTAACCGATATTAGAACACGACAAAAATCGGCAAAAAGTGTCGGCCAAGGAGGTCCATCCTTGTCTGACGTAATTATTTTTTATAAGAAACAATCATCAACCTTCTAATATTAGGCACTAAGCAAATTAAACTGTCCGTCTATCTAAGCCAACGACCGCTTGTGTACATACACGCGTGAAACAACGATTGTAGAAACAGCAAAGTCAAAAAAAAAAAAGAGCGATCGAACACTTTTCGGAACACTTTTCGCCACTTATGGCAAAAACCCCTATCGGTTTCCCGCACAACAGAGCACCTGCGAGCCATCCATCTACCTGAATAATCGGCTGGCTGTTTCTCGCAAGCATCAGGAGCGGTTGAACTCTCGATTTCGCCGAAAAACAGCAGTAAAAACAAACAAAAAAAAACGAGAGAAATCCCCGTGTGAAACTACGATCGCGTCAAACCGACCAATGTGTTGAGGAAACATCCAACACCAAAAATAAACGTTACCATCCTCGGAGGACGCAACGGATCCATGCCCAATGGACCCGTCCATCGAGCCGAGTCATGGCGTACATACACGTACCTATCGACGAAAACCAACAAAACAAACCGTATCGAACCAAGCACCGATTCACCCAAAGCGAAGGGAGTGTAGTGGTGCGGCTTCTCCAAGACAACAAACACCGTGATCGTCTGCACTGCAACATTGAAGAGGTGGTTTAAATAAAAAAAACTACCCCCTTGTCCTATCGCGAACACACCCCCCCCTCAAACATAACAAAATAAGTTGAAATTGCCACTTGCGTTGGACTAGGTTTGACCGATCCTGATGGAACACAATAGGGTTTAACAAGACAGCAAGACAAATGCAGGTCACTGCGCTGGACTCTGCAGCACTCCCCTCGACACCGCCAGTGCGCGCGCTAAAAAAAACAGGAGGCACCATACGAACCACACCCACACACCCACACACCATCACCCGACCTCCCACTACAAATCAAATCGGACCAGTCTCGAATCAAGAGCGACGCCACCTTTGCAGGCTGCTACTGCATGCACACGCGCGCACCCGATTATGATTGTTCTCTTTCTTCCACCTTTCGGAGGGCGGGACGTGACGTGATGGATTTCCGCCTCACACACATGTTCGAGCAACACACACATTTCCACAACGGACGAATACAATAAAATCAGACCCAGACAGAAATAACAAAAAATAGAAGAAGAAAAAAGGGACTAGACCAGCGTGCGGTCGACCACTACACTCTTCCATGCACCCATCCAGAAAGAACACAATTACTCAAAGAGCAGAGGTAGAACCAACCAGTTGCGCCAAGTGCCCATTCCGACCCTAGGCTTGAAAACTGTGCCGCCGCGCGCCGCTCCCAACAACCCACCACCACCGCACCTCCACTCCACTCAAAAAAAAAATGAGCCTGACTTTCGCCGGCGTGGTGCAACATTAGAATAATTACACCGGAGGTTGGTTGCCACTCTGAACGAAATCCCACGAGTCGGGGTCGGCATCGGCACCCCTTGGCACACTGCCGTTACCGCAGTGTGCCATGCCTCGGAGTGCATCAACGGGGAGCAGGGAGATTCAAGAACGGGCCGATCTATATCTCGCCGCACGTGTGTCTCCGCCAAGAACTCACTCTCGTCGAGCACCAGACGCGCCGCCGCACACCCAAAACCATTTGTCTTGCCCATATGAACTCCCACCCATCCCCAAAGGCACCACCCGCCGCAACCGCTCGGAGACTCAAGGCAACGCCGCACCGCACCGCACCCCTCATCCCCCCCCCACCCTCCCCCCCCCGCCAACAAAACACCAACGAGAAACTTACGTATCATCCCCTCCTTGCCGGTGGCCTCCAAAGCGTGCGCCAAATACTAACCCCTATCGAGCCATTCGTTTTACCTCAGATGTAAGCTCGCCCCGCCCCGCCCCCCGCCCCCCCCCCCGCTCAGCCGGCCCCTCCCTCGGCAAAAATTTGCTCCGCTTGCGGTGGGTGGTGGTCGCAGCCTGAGCGTTGGCTCTCTGTCTCTCTCATGCGCGCGCCTAAAATTTTTCTCAGTTTGCCCTTGCCCGGGCACGGCGGATGTTCACGTGCGACGGAAGCTTGTGGGCGAAGCAGAAGTTGGCTCGGCGGTCGCCGACAAGGCCGAATGACGGCTGGTGCTTGCACCCGGGGTGCTCGCAGCAGCGGTTCTTGACGTCCACCATGAGGGGGCTCTTGTGCGAGAGGCAGAAGGTCGCGCGAGGGTCTCCGGCGTGGCCGTAGACCGGGTTGCGGGTGCAGCCGGGCTCCCTGGAATCGACAGGGCGCAAGAAGAACAAGAAGAACAATTTAATCAGAAGACTAAGAAGGAAAAATATCAACAAGAACAACACTAATCAGACGACTACGAAGGAAAAAGATCAAGAACAAGACGAAGAATAACAAAGACAAGGAGAACCAGAACAGAACGGGAAGAACAAGGAGAGAGCCACGCGAGAGATTGAGAAAGTTAAAGCAACGTTCCGTCTCCACAAAACTTGTTCTGCATGGTATGCATACCATCCGCCGGTTTAGATACTACGCCGCCTGGAACGGTTCTCAAAGCTCGATTACTCCACCAACGAAAGGATGCCAAAAAAAATATTACCGTACGCTTTCTGAGAAAACTCTCGACGTTTCCAATGCCGCCATTTTCGGCGCCGCCACCGTTTTCGTTGGAAATTGGCCCAGGGGGTGTGCTACATATCTTGCGCAAAACATACGGTGTGAAACACCTGGCCATCTAGCAACGACGACGTTATCTACGGCAGCTTCTCGCTGGTTCGTTGCCGTTCAAGAGAATGACTGGTACGTCAGCCGAAAAAAGCCTCATGAATCAAAACAGAGCTTCTTGCCCTTCTTTCTTCCCTCTGCAGCGAGCGAGGGAGGCTTTCCTCATCCTACCCATACCCCGATGGTCCCCGACCCCTCCCTGGACTGAACGACAGAAGGGCAAAAGATGTTCGATCGCTATGCATACGTGTACGTGCAACAGCAGCAGTGGGCCTCTTGACGAAACACAAGGCGCTTCATCTCGAGAGGAACAAATGAATGACCGACGGTCAAACCTGAAAAGGCAACGGAGAACGCACACAACGACATCACCCCTTCCCCCCTCCCCGGGCCCGACCGTTCCCTCCCTCTCCCTGCCTTGCTATTTCATACAATACCTGCAGCGGGGCGCCTTGACGTTGACCATGCCCGGGAGCTTGTGCTTGGCGCAGTAAACGGCGCGACGGTCGCCCTCGATGCCGAAGTTCGGGTGAGACTGGCAGCCTGTTTAAGATGGCAGTGTCACCAGAGACAAGAAGAGGAGTAAGAGTCAAGAGCGTGCAACACCAAGCGGAAAAACTGGGACATAGAGCCACGTACGTAACGTAGCGGGCGGTTACGTTGTGTGCTTATCCAGGAACAGCGTCGGGGGTGATGTGACGGTGGGTAATGATACAGAACAGAAGGGGAGAAAGAAGCGAAACAGTTGGAGACGGTCTGGAATCCCTTGGCGGATACACCGGGCGCGGAGCTGTTCTGCATAGTGGCTGTTGCCCGTCCGTCATGGGCAAGGGTGGGCGGCGTACGGTGGGGAAGTTGTTGCCATCACGTTACGTCGCTATCAGTCAGCATTGCAACAGAGGGATGGCAGAAAGACACTCAAGAGCTAAAGCAAAATACTCGAGAAATACATCACGCGTTTTGTGTTCTTGGTGCCTGCCACACACACAAATTAATGTGTCGCCGCCGCTGCCGCTGCCGCCCCCCCCTATCTCTTTCTCTCTCTCGTATCTCCGGAGCGAGTGGATACCGGCGGACTTCAAAAGTGGGCGCGGGAGACGCGCACTTCCATACTGAGACGCGTCTGCCACCGTGCGCATACAGTCACCGTTCTAGCGAAAGTCGTCGCGGCCAAACCACGCAACGGCTCCGCGAACACCAAACACCACCCCTCAATCCCACCACTTGCAAGGCTCGGTGGTTTCTCGTAGGTTCCAATCCAAAAGCACACACACACACGTACACAGACACTCACCCTCATGGCGGCACCTCCTGCTAGTGGCCGGGGACTTCTTGCCCCTCGCCGTTGTCCTGCCGCCACCTCCGCCCCCAGCCGCGCCAGCCCCGGTGCCACCACCGCCTCCGCCTCCGCCTCCGCCTCCGCCACTGCCGCCGCCGCCCCACGACCCCGCCCCGTCGCGCAACGGCGCGTGGTCAACGCCGTTAATCACGGCCCTGCTTCGACCCCCCGCGCCGCCGCCGCCCAATTCGCCCCCGCGGCCTCTCTCCATTAACCGCTCGAATACCGAGTCGCCGCCGGCCATCCCGCCGCCGTTGGAAGACAAGTGGATGCCGTCCGCTTCCCGCTTCATCACCCGGGCGCGCTTAGCTCGGGGCATGTCGTCACGGCCGCCGCCGCCGCCGCCGCCCCCCTCACCGCCGCTGCCGCCGAACATCGCCCCGTCCGTTTCCCCGGGCGCCATGGACACGGGCTTGAAGTCGTGCGCGACGAACCGGTCGGAGCCGCCGCCGCCGCCGCCGCCGCCGCCGCCAGCGGACCCCATCCCGAGAAGGCTCCTAGGGTTGTTGGGGATGTCGTAGGCCGGGGCGTGCGGCCCCGGCGGCACCAGCGTGTCGCACGGGGGCGCCGTTCCTCGACGCGAGTCTTCCAGCTTGTTGCGGGCCGACAGGAAGCTCCCTCCGCCGCCGCCAGGGGCACCGGTGCCGCCGCCGCCACCGTTTCTGCTCCCGCTTAGCCCCCACACGACCTCGGTCACGGAGGGGGGGGACGAGCCCGGGCCCCACCGCGCGCCCGCGCCGTAGGGCCCCCTCCCCACGGCGTCCAGCAGCATCGCGCTTCCGCCGCCGCCCGTCCGGATGCCGCCGCCGCCGCCGTTCACGCCGCCCCCGCCACCGCCGTTCTCCAAGATGTCGAGGGAGCTGCTGGAGTGGTTCCGGTGGTGGTCAGCCGCGGCGCTGCGATGGCGCTGCCCGCCACCGATGTCAGGGGCCGGGCCGAGCCCGGCGAGCGAAGAGGCAGACGGCTTCCCGAAACGACACGCGTCCCAGTTGTTAAGAGGGGGGTGGTCCGTCGTACCTCCGCCGCTGCCACCGCCGCCACCGCCACCGCTACCGCCACCGCCGCGGAGCGTCGAAACCCCCGCGCTCCCGCCCATCATGGAGGCAGGAGGCCCGCCGCCGCCGCCACCGCCGCCGCCCCTCCTTCCCCCGCCGAAGCCACCAAGCGCCGACTCCTGCTGGTGAAGGCCTCCGCCGCTGCCGACGTTGTGGGAGGACAGGGCCAGCGGCGGCGCGGGGTTCGGAAGCTGGAGGTCCCACGGAAACGTCGACACTACCGGCTCGGGGGCGTCTCTCCACCAGGACGTCGGGCTCCCCCCTGCGGTTGACGTCACGCTAACCTGGTGTTGGTGGTGTTGGTGATGGTGGGGGTCGACCACCGGCGCCCTGCAATCCGCCTGAGGGTCGAACTCGACGCTGCCTACGTCTCCGGGGTCGCCCCCCCCGATGCTGCCGTCTCCACCGCGTCCGCCGCCGCCGCCGCCGCCGACGTCGTTGTGGCCGTTGCTGCCGCCGTTCTGCATGCTCGCCATGCCCACGCCGGCGGGCAGGTTGTCCGTCGCCCCTTCGGAGCCGCCTCCCTGCTGGTGGTGGTGTGACGATGATGAGGGAGAGTAGCCGTTGACGGCTATCATCTCGTGTTGCCACGGGATGCTGTTGCCACGCTGCTGCTGCTGCTGCTGCTGGTGGTGGTCGGTCTTGCCGTAGCCTCCTCCGTTGCCAGGGTCGCCGGCGATCTCGCCGCCGCCGCCGACGCCGCTGCCTTGGTCCTGCGAGGCGATGCTGCCGTTCGCGCTGCTTTCTCTCCGCAAGCCGTTGTTGCTGTTGTTGTTGTCGCCGCCCACGACTTCGGAGTTCATGCCCGGCAAGCCGCCGCCGCCGCCGCCACCGCTGCCCCGCGCCCGAAAGACATGGGGGACGTCGCCTTCGAAGAAAGGGTAGCGGTGCTGGTCGTGCTCATGCTCCTGCTTGAGGTTAGCGGGGTGGCCGCCGTTAACATGGCCGCCGTTAACGTGGCCGCCGCCGGCGTGGTCGTCCATGTGCTGAGCGTGGCCGTGGGGGCCGTCAAGCGGCGCCGCCAGGCGATTGCGGCGGAAGTACTCCTTCATCTCGTGCAGGCGCTGCGAGGGTCCGCTGACGGACGCGGACCCCGGCCTCTTCCGTTGTCCCCCTCCGCCGCCGATGCCCTCCTGCATTTCAAACGGATTGGTGAGGTTCGGTCATTTTGGGTGAGCGGGTCCACGGGGGCGGTTTGTCTGCATGTATGAATTGCATACCATGGTTGCTGCTTTTGTCCGCGGGTGTTGTCGTGATCTTGACGACGTCGTAGCCGTGTCACACGCAAGCAGCACCACAAGAAAAAATCGCAGACAACAAACACAGGCAAGGTTGGAGAGCTTGCTCGCATTGTCCTGTGGAATTCAACGCGCTCGACAAGTCCTCATGGCTGCGAATGGAAGAAAAAAGAAAAGAAAAAAAAAGAAGGCGAGGCGAGAAGGAATGCACAGGAATTTTTGACAGCGGCCGCCACATAGACCCACAGGCCGAAGAGTTCTGAGCGCAAAGAACAGCCCAACGGAAGACCAGAACCGGAGCGAAAAATATATACATTGGCGGAGGGAGCCCTCAAGTTTGTTTTGTATCTCTAGATGCATGTAAGTTGTGGTGCAGAACCTCGGTGTCAAACAAACCCCCCGGGGGACGCGTAAGCCGTGCCCACCCCCATTTATTTCGGCATGGCAAGAGCAACCCGTCGGGATCTGTGTGTTTTTACTTCGCCTCGCGAGTCATCGCAGAAATTTCGAAGGACAAGAGACGTGTAAACCCCGCGCTTACAACCGGCTGCCGCCGCTGCCGTATTGTGTTGGGCGTGATGTAGGCAAAACGTCGAACGACTTGTTTGCTCGTCTTCACATCCCGTGGCGAAATGCTTTGAGGGGGGGGTGCGACCGGTTACATCGTCGCGAGAGCGAGAGAAGAACAACAAGGGGGGGAGAAAACAACAAAGGCGGCGTACTTTTTTTTTTGCTCTTGTCCGTTCAATATATTCACAAACCGCCCTCTCCTCTTGTATGTAGATACGTATGTTGTTGTTGCCGAGATGAGCAAGCCCCCCGTGTGTGCTGTAAGGGCGTTCCTTGAGAGTGGAACACGCGAGAGGAAATATCTGTAAACGTGATACCGACCGTATGCATATCATATTTAGAAGTGTATGTGCACAGCAGCGCCGGCCCACGCAGCGGTGCAACCGAAGCTGCAGTAAATAATCAGTGCACAGCTGGCAAAAAAACGAAATTTTTTTGGAAAAATCAAATTAAAGGGCGGTGTGTGCTGTATACAGCGGCGGGAAGGGTATGCACACACGCGCCGCGCACGCAATGGAAGAAAGTATGTACATGCATATTTCGGACGTGTTCTACAACAAAACACGGACCGCAACGCACATGCAAGACAAAGGAGCAGTGGCGGCCGTTGCAGAGCGTGCTGTCGGCAGATCCAGGAGATTGCGATGAACGCATGTGAGGGGTTCACATCATATTCATTTATTTATTGTTCTACAGCGAAAACGCCGATCCTGATTAAGGTTATTATGTGAACGAAGCACCTGACGTCCTACGATAAACTACCCACCAAATAACGATTTTCCTTGTGCACACCAACCGTCATGTCATCCTCTACACATGAAACAACAGACCGGACCCCCCTCAGACAGATTTGCAAGAATAATTTTTGTACCTGAGGCACGGCTGGACGGCACACACACTCACACCACACGACAGGAGTCGAGAGAAGGTAGGGAGCGTGTGTGTGAGAGAGGGAGGGGGGGGGGGAGAGAGAGAAAGAGAAGAGAGAGATATCCTCCGCTTTTCCGGAAAAAAAGCAAAAGGAAGATAAGAAACAACGACACGACCTGCTGTGGGAACCACACGGCGTCGGGAAGCCACACCCCTTGATGAAAAAAAAACAAGGTTTAGTAGCAGCAGTACCGCTGGTGCACAGACCTACTCCGGTCTCGCATGACCTTGACTATCAGCGTACCGGAGACCTCGCATCAAATATCCTATACAGCGCCAGAGGAGAGGAATCGTTATAGCATGGAGTCACACACAGACACACGCAAATGGAAATCTCAACTGGTGCTGCCTAAACGCTCCAGACAGCAGTATGAAGGTTTCTCAGCAGCACCGGCGGGGAATTATTACCAACGTCCAAAGTCTGTCGTTAGATTCAAGCCTGGTACTTTGGCATGCAGCAATACATCGGATCCATCCAACCTTGAGAGTCATGCTAAAGACGAAGAGCTCGATGTGCTCGCCGTGCGCGGGCACAGCCAGGGCGCGCGGGGGACACACCGAGTCTTCGCAAAGAATGTCGGGTGTTGTTCCTCAGCGACGTTCGACACAACGGGTAAAAAAAAGAGGAAAAAAAAAGTACCAGCCAGCAACCGAAAAATATTCTTGGATGCCCGGAGGAGACCCCACGCCAGCCTTGAAGATCAAAGTGACGGAGAGACACACACACTTGGTGGTGGAAATTGAAAGTCACAACCAAAATGCTGAACGATTGTTTACGTAGTGGTGCATGCACGCCTTGCACAAGGCGTGCGGGTTGCATATTTGGCACACGCCTGGCACACACGCACGCGCGCGCCTGCTGTAGACGAAAAATGTCTAGCGTTACTGCCACAGCAGAAGCAGCTGCTGCTGTTTCCGGCCAACAACAACAAGCACACGTGCCGTGTTTTGGCATGACAAATAAATGAGGTGCCACAAAAACACACGTACAAAGATCCCGCCCGACGCGATGCAAAACTCCGACGCGGGCACAGATTGCAGCGGGAGAGCTAGAGCTACATGGAGGCGATGACACCAGCAGCAGGCAGGAAAAGGCAAGCAACCATACAAAAGGACGAGGAGGGTGCTTTATTTACTTGCAGGGCGCATCATGGGTGGGGCGGGAGGTGCAAAAAAATCCTTTGCCGCCGAAACAAACAACGCACGCCAGACAAAATAAGCAAGCAAAAGACCATACAGGGCGGGTTTTCGAAGGAAAAGTAACCTATGGACAGGCGCAGGATCCGCCAACATCAAACTTTCACTGCCGCCTTGCACCAACCTGTCGAAAATCCTGAGGGTGCACCGCTCCCCCCGCCTCCTGGTGCTGCTGCCTAGCCCAGGACATGTCTGCTGCGGTCGCAGCAGTGCCAGCAGGATCGCCGATCTCGCTGCCGTAGCCACCAGGCCAGTCCAACCCAGTCGGTGCAACGGACACCCCACTTCCGGGAGAGTGCTGCTGCTGCTGCTGCTGTTCCTGGCCCCCTCCTCCTCCTCCTCCTCCTCCTCTCCAGGCATCGTCGACAACCCCGCCGCCGCCGGGGTGCTGGTCGAAGCTCCCCATCCCGTTTACCCCCCGCTTGTTCGCGAAGATCTCAAGCCGGTCCGTATCGAACGGAACGTATCCGGCTTTGGCCATGCCTCTGATCTGTTTGCCGCTCCTGCTTTTTTTGCTGTGCACAGCTCTCGATGTCGATGAACTCTCCGACCAGGGGCAGCTGCTGGTCAGGTGTTCGATTGCACACGCGCCTTGTGGTCGTTGCGCAGGCAAGCCCTTTGGCGGGACTCCACTCGCCCTGCTTCCCCGCTTCCGAGCCCCTGGCCCTGCTGCTGCCTAAGAAGGGCTGCTACTGCTGGCTGCTGCAGCTGCTGCCGTTGCCGTTTGCACACTATGTCGCTTGCTCGCTGTTGCTCCGTCACGTGCTGCTGGTGCTGCTGCTGCACCTCTGGTGTATACCCGCAGGAAGCACGACAGAGAGCAGAGGCCGATTTCCTACCTTTGCGCGGCCGCCTCTCTCGCTGCACCGCACACCGCTGCTAGCAGAGCCGTCCGTGATGAACAACAGCAGGGGAAGGGGACCCGCAGCCTTCTTCCTCTTGTTTCCCTCTCTCTCTCTCTCTCTGACACTGACTCCTGTGTGTTGCTTGCTGGCGGGGCGAAGTCGCTGATTTCTTGTGACAGCCGGGAGCAACTGTCCTTTCAAAAAAAAAACAGGGCGCAAAGAGCCGAGGAATTGTTATGTGGGTCGTCAGCAAGTCAAATCAGATTTATCAAGTCAAATCAGATTTCTTGCCGGCACCCGTTCATACAACAAGATTTCTCGAGAGGACTCGCCACCTCTTGTTTTGCTAGAAGCATTTTTTTTTTAATCACCAAAAATGTAGGTGGTGTTTGAATTGTTCTCTCGAAGTTTCGAAATTCCACCTGCAGGACAACAACCCGCGATTATTTTTCCGGCTGTATTTTGGCATATTCGGCGGTTGTTCATTGGTGTGCGAACTACAGCACGAGAGTCTGAAAAGAGGCATATTGTATGTAGCAGAGACCACGCCCTGGCTAACCCACGGGCTCAACAGAGTCTTCGAACAATGTTTCTGCAGTCGGGACGAGGTCCATGCCCGCGTGTATGCCACGCAGCAATGTGCCAGAGGAGGATGCGTCTCGCAAGCTGCGGAAGACAGATGGATGAACATGTACGTGTATACCCATTTGCGACGTTCTCTCTCGGCAAAGCACCAAAAAAAAATGCCGAAGTGACCGCTGAAACATCGAACGACATCCACGGCCAGACAGAAAGAGACACATCTCCACCGATGTACATTATACACGCGCATGATGTTTTCGAGCGGTGCCAACGAACGCACGCGCACCTAGATACTGCTTGTGTTGCTGCTGCGTACTGCCGCTGCTGCTGTGACATGTATATGTTGCTGGCAGACTAGTTTATGGGCACATGAGTACTACTACTACCGCCGCTGCTGCTGCGCACGTTGAGCTCCTCGGGCTGCACCGGTCTACATGCCTGACTATTATCTTCTGTCTGCGCGGCTGCTTCTTCTACAACAACATCATAATCATCATAATCATCACGATCAATGCGCCACCCACCAGCCAAACCCACAGCGCCTGTAGTAGTAACGTAGTACCCACCTCTTGATGACGACAATCAATCTCTCTCTCTCTCTCTCTCTCTCTCTCTCTCTCTCTCTCTCTCTGCTTGTGTCCAGATGCCCAATGGGGGGGACGAAGCAGTTCGTCGGTGCTACCAACAAACCTAGCTGGTTGCACACAGCTCCCTTCTTCCTCAACACAGACAGAGAGATATCTCGACTTGGGCAGAGAGAGGGTGATGTGAGGGAATGATGGTGATTGAGGAGGAGGAGGAAAAAGAACCAACACAGCGGTTTATTTCGTCATTGTATGTGTTTCATGTGCCATTGGCAGACCGACCACAGCAAGAACTCTAGGTCCTGTTTACTTGTTGTTTATGTGGTCTCTCTAGAACCCAACGTCGGTCAAAAGGTTCAACCCGTAATAAGTTTTTCCGGGTTTTGGCAGATCTTTGAGATCCATAGTCGTCTGCATGCATTCATACAACATATCTTGGGCTCTCACCCAACACACACCGCCGTCCATTCCGAGCTGGGAGAAATCTTCTACATAGGTGACATGTGTATATATATGTTTCCCTCCCCTTCTTGCTTGTTGTGCACCAACCAGGTAGGTATGTATAGGTATGTATGCTGCCAGCTTGTTGTTCATGCAGCATTGATTCACTCTATGCGGACCGTTTCAATGTTACATATATATCCCGACCATTCGGGTTGATCCGAAGTTGTTTGTTATATATATATAGTCTATGCATAGATAGGCTTAGGGTGAAGGGGGGGGTGTAAGCTACCGAGCTACAGTAGTAGACTGCACGACGAACACAAACAAACACAGACGCCAAAATTATTATTTCGGCCAAGAGAATAACAATACCTAAATAATATGTAAAATTAAGAGAGAATATATATGATGAGCGTCCATGCCATGACCTAATATCTATCTATCTATCTGCTATTATCTGAAAATAGTCCGTGTCCGGGTGTCAGGCCAAACCCTTCGCCAAACTATGTTCTGTTGTTCTTGGATTGGATTAACAAATAAAGCGTGCACCAGATAGATAGCCAGACAGACGTGGGCCGGGATGGAATCAATGGATGATTAGTGAGATGCGGACGTCGAGATGGATGGATGATGATTGATGTGAAATAAAGAGAAATAAATGCCGGCGGCCCGCTCGGAAGAAACCATTCATCAAACAAGGCTAAACACGTCTGTCTACAGGCAGTTTTGAATTTAGTATGTGTCTGGTTCGTTCGAGCGTGTTCGAACAAGATCCTCAATCAAACAAACCAGGAGGCGATGTCTCAGCGAAAGCAAAATTGCTAAACTGCACTTACTTCAGTGTAGCATACGTATATCATGATAATAATCAATCAATCAATGCCGGCGGCTGATGAGCCCATTTTTCCCGGCCATTGTTGTTCGTCAACAACTTGAGCTTCGGCTGCTTGCTTGTTGTGTGAAGGACAATGATCGACGATGGTCCCCACACAGTAGTTACGGTCGTCAACCAATCGTTGCTGGAACCAAGAACCAACCCTTCCTCGTACTCAAGCGAGGGCATCTATTTGTAGTCTACATCCTGCTGCTGCTGGTGTACAGCTTCCGTTTACAACGAGACCGAGGTGTAGACAAGGTGCATGCCATGCGCAGCAAGTCGCCGCGAGATGATATAGAGATTCATTCGCGAACCGTCGGACGAACGAAGGTAGGTGATGATGAACGATGCATCAATCATCATCCATCCATCCTGAAACAAACCCGCTCGGGATGCCGGTCGGCCTTATGCTATGACTCATCAGAGCGTTTATTATTGACGCACAAGTAATTTTGGTCCAAGCGAACAGGCGTCAACCAGCAAGCCTTAGGGAGGAAGCCACTTCTTCTCCAACGAAGCTTTGCCTTTTCACAAGCTTCCTGTGCAAATCATCGCCCCCTGCTCAACCATCCACATGTCACGCCTCCTCATCATGCAAGAAGACGGTCGGGAACGAAAACAAGCGGTCGGTTTGTTCGGTACATGATTGTTTTTCTTCTTCCGTTAGTAGACAAGATACACGTCGACGTGTAGGAACACAGGTCAGGTACACAACAAACACCGACAATAATTTTACTACAATCATGTCGGACTATGTAGAACGTAACTCAACACATCACATGTAGTGCAGTATGCGACACCCGGCTCTATGCAGACTTCTTTCACAGCAGAAATAATGTAGTTGGGTTAAACACAAAGAAAGTACGCCCGGCCTGGTGACGAAGACTCGACCAAAGAAAGGACGGAGAGAATATATCGACACCCAAGGTTCCATACCAGAGGTTCAAACTGCAATAGAGCACAAGTAGGGGGACTTGGCCCGCTTGGCGCCCTTGTCCTCCAAAAATGCATACATACTGCATATACACACATTTTCTTCTAGATCGTGCGTCTCCTGTGCATGGGCGGAGTCGCTCTTACTTTTTTTTTCCGTCTCCCTCCATCCTCTACTACATCCTGGTAGATAGGGGGAGCACACAGATCCCAGAGCTGCACGTAAGTGCGATAGATATAGGTTCGACCGACCACTTCCTCATATGGGCAAACATCGACCGATCTAGAAAGACGGAGAGCAACAAGAAACAGAGGAAAGTGTTCCGGTGGAAAGTAGAGCGTTTGGAAGACAAGGGGACACGGGATGAATAATTCCAGAAGGGACTGGCTGGTAGTGTAGAACCCTTCAGGAACCTGCTGAGAAGCGTCGAAGACGGACAGGTAGACGACAAGCAGCAGGGGACAGGGTGATTGAAGGATGGGAGTCCTGTGAACACAACAACGGCAGAGCGAATATAGTGGGAAAGAAGGTGGTACGATGTGGGGTATCGGTTAAAAGGGTGCTTCTTATTATCGACCAATAAAACACGAAAAAAAAAACGAAACCGTGTTTTCTTGAACACATATGGAGGCGTTCTTCCCCGAAAGCGTGAAAAGAAGGAGCCGGGTTTTTTTGGGGCTTTTGCTACTTAAACGAATTCGTGTTTTTGACACAAGCATCGGACAAGCGCACCGCGGGCGCTGTAACATCACTGAGAACGCTAGAAAGACCTGCCAGACTCACGTCCAGGTCTGTTGTGGAGATGGACAAGCGGCAGAAGCGGCGTTCAGTCCGTTCTTGGTCCAAAACTAGACACTGCGTGGTGCTCTCGTCTTCAACTGCTGCTGTTGGTGCTGGGGAATTTTTTTCCATCACACATAGCAAACACGGAAACAGTAGAACGAGTACAGCAGCAGCAGCAAGACCTGACACCAAAGTTTCCGTAAACTTCGGTGTCAGGAATGCTATTGGCGGATGATTTCGTTGGTATGTCGGACACCCCTGAGGGACTGCAGCTACAAATTGACGCGGCGAAGAAGTTTACTGATAAGTGGAGATTGTCTGCCAACGTTAAGAAGAGTGACGTCATGGTGTGCAACGAGGTCAGGGAGGAACCAGTAGAACATAGATAGATGGAAGTGGGAGATCGAGGAGATTGCAGTAGTGGACCAGTACACAACCTCAGAGTAGAGATCGCAAAAGACTGCTCGTGGAATGCACACATGTCCAAGGTAGCGGAAAAGGGCAAAGCACGAGCAGGAAAGCTGCACCCAATACTCGCACACCGGCACCTCGATACACGCATCAAATTGACGGTTTTGAAGCGCGTAATCGTACCGCCGCTAGAGTGCGCCGGAGAAGTATGGGACGGAAATAAGAAGGTAGTGAAAGAATTCGAGGCGGCGCAGATGAAAGCAGAAATCATCCTAGGATGCTCCAAGCGCACAAGTAATGCGGCCGTCAGGGCAGAATTGGGGATCCAATCCCTACGGTCGGGAAGAGACGCAAGGAAGCTGACATGGCAGTATCGCATGTACGGGATGGGAGAGGAGAGGTTGCCGAGAATAGGATGGGAGGCGAAGTGGGCAGACAAAAAGAGGGGTAGATAACCCACAGAATGGGTCAAGGTTGTAGAGGACGTATGGAGGGGGTTAGACATCGACGAAGATGAAACGCTGGAAACGGAGGGTCTGCAGGGGTTCAAGGAGAAGATATCTGTTGCTTGTGCCGAGAGAGAAAATCAGAATCTAAGGAAATAAACCAAGGATAAGGAGGGTCTAGAAGTGTACGGAATGTTGAAAGAAGGAATAGGGTTCAAGGATTACCTACATGGACCAAATGGACGCAGGGACAAAACTTAAGGTCAAATTCAGGATCGGGGACATCGGCCTTCGAGAACGTCGACGAAGACATAGGACGGTAGACGACGAAGACGACAAGTTCAAATGTGATTGCGGCTTCGAATGCGAAGACCGTGTTCATGTAGTCGCGGAATGTCCGTGGTACGAAGAGGAGAGGGAAGTGTACATGACTGAGCTGGGAAAAATGTAAGGGACGTACAGGGAGATGTTTGAGGCATGGAATAGAGAGGAGAGGACGGTAGCTGTACTGGGAAGTAGGAAGTGGTTTGAAGAGGCGGGAAGGGATATCGTTAGGATAGACAGACTAGGGAAGACATTTTTGAGCCACCTTTGGCAAAGTAGAAAGGAACGATTGGCCATCGGTGATAGGTCCTGTGGGAACAATGCTCCGTCCTCCAGGACGCGTGGTCAATGGTCTAACCGCTAAGGCATGCAAAACATAAGAGTACGCCCCCCCCCGACCTTGTCCAACTAGCTGTCTCCAGCGAAAGGGTGGCCACCCTATATGCCAAGTCTCGCGGCCCCTCTTTCTTTCAATTTCTTCTATCCCTGCGATTAATCGTACTGGCCTGTGTGTACAACCTGAGAGTCCTATCAT